TATATATATATATAAACATTATTTACTACAATTTTAATTTATTGATCTCTTTCAAGGCAAACACAAACAAAAGGTAGTGAACTACCAAAATCAATTAACAAACTATCGATGGAAGAAAGGCAAGCTACAGAAATTCTTTGATCAGTATGTATCAGTCAACTATCAATTATATGAAATTCTTCAGGCCAAATTCATAATTACAAACATATGGTACATTATATAGTTGCTTTCCATTTGCACATCAAGTGAAACTAAAGTGAGTATTTCATACTCAGATTAATGATGTCATTATTTGCTTAGTTTGGTAAAAAGTTATCACATGACAACACAGGTTCAAACCTGACTTTTAAAGTGAGTTTACAAAATTCACTAAAGTATACGGTCTCGATCTTGTGCAGATTATAGGCAAAAACTCAATTAAATTTTACTTGTCAGAATGTAAAAGGAACGTGCATTCAACTGAGTTATGACGTCACAAGTGAGAATTATCTGAGAATTGGTGTAAATGGAAAGCAATTTATATGTCACATATATTATGTTGTTTACTTTAATTTTAATTTATTGATTGAATATTTATTCGGAACAATAAACTAGAACAAGAGTCAAAGAGAACTATCAAAGTGGGTCAACAGCTATTAATGGAAAGAGATATAAACTGCAAGATTGCATAAATTCCTTGATATTTATCAATCAACAATTATATGAAACTCTATAGAGTTAAATTCATGATCGGACATATAAAGTGATGATCAAAATCATCATGAGTCTGCTGCGTATATTGTGTCACATATTATGTTATTTATTGTAATTCTAATTTATTGATCATTTCCAGGACAACGGACGGCAGTATGGCATGGGGAACTGTCAAAATAGAGCCCCCAGGTTATGTTACGCTCGTACCACGGATCCCTCGATGGAGGTGCTGCAGTTGGACAGGTAATCGACGTCGCGATTCTCTTGCTTCACAATCCCGCCCACTGCCATAGAGCTCACCTCCAAGATCGCCGAGTCCTCGGCGCCCTTCTCGTCTCCCGGATTTTCCATCTCCGACGTTTCCGACGAGGTCATCATTTTTCTGATAATCAGACAACAGACCGACGTCAACCACCTACACGAATCGCTAGACAACTACTGACAAGTTGACAACATGACAACTTCGCGCAGACGCCGCGAGCGAGTGATAGATTATCGTAAAGGGCTGCACAAAAAAAAAGAGCCCTTCACCTGTCGCACTGTTGTTATAAACAATTTTATTTCTAATTCAAATACATTGCCAATACGAGATTTTCTTTGCATAATATCAAATCATTTTGACAATCTCTTATTGCTTATATTTTTTTTTAATTTCCTAAAAACATGCGAATGGATTTTGGACTGAATTTTATTTTAATTTTAGCCCAATTAATTTTTAGGCTATTTAATTTCAAGTCGATTAATTTAAGATCAATTAATTTTAGATGAAAGACGACTATATACGGATTATTTCGCTTGTTTACAATCGCAAAAATTGAACTGAATAAGAATTGCAACGTTCTTACATTATTCCTAGTCTCAATTCGAATCTGCTTAGAGCCCACGAGTATCTTAAGTCCGTCACTGCGAGCGAGATAGTGCGCATGCACGACACGCACATCGATCATCGATTCAAAATGCTGCGCCAACTTCGCGTCGAACATGAGATCCGATTGACCTACATCCAAAGCTGCATGTCGATTGCAGACGGAGCAACATGCTGTTAGCTTATTTATATATGTTATGTATACACATGTTTCGTATATATAAGGTACACAAGATTACCATAATGTTAGTTGACTCGATCTTTATTAAAGGATTAGAAGCTGCTTAGCTTCTGTATTTTCTTATGGGCCGCTTCTTCGATTTCGAAGAGTAATTTAAATCTGCATTCTTCCTTTTCTTCAGATGATATTTTAGAATAATGATAAAATATTTTAGAAATTAATAATTATTAAAGGTCAATTTTTGCTTTCTAGAGTTTGCTTTCTAAGTTTATATATTACTGATCCTCTGTTACATTCGACTAATTAAATCATAATTCCAATTTTTTATTTTCGCCAGGAAAGAAGAAGATATAATTTGTTTATACGTTATATATAGATTGTGTCTAACACACAAGTATTTAATGAAATAATTAAATTTCAAAAACATAATTAGATTGAATATGAGAATTCACTCTCATTCTAGAAAGTTCTCCGAGATGAAAATACATGACCACAGACCCGTTCTTTTTAGCTGAACTTTTGCACCAGTTCATTTTTCTTCCTTTTCTCTTTAGGAAGAAAGAAGAAGAAAAAAGATGGATTGCAAAAATTCAGCCAAAAAGAACAGGGTATCGATTACGTATCTTCTTCCTTAGAGTAAAAAGTGAAATTTTTTTGTATGTATGTGTGTATATGTACGTATACACACACTATACAATTTTTCATTTTTCATGTTTTCTCTCTGAAAAAAGATACATAATCGATACCCAGGTCTAAATAGCGGAGACTTCATACGTGAAAATGGATAGCGATCCGCGATTGTTATCGCAACGGCGAGACTCGTATCTTCTCTTTTTTTTTAAGTCTTCTCACGTTTACGGAGGTTATATTTCTCAGACGGCGTCTTCGGGAAGCGCAACGAATTTTTTCGACAAGATTCGCAGAGAACGCAGATGGAAAGGAGCAGTGTGGCAAATTCTAATTTCGTGGTTCCGTCGTCTTTCTGTTGTGAAAATCTCGAATTTGCGCTGATGGCGAATGAATATCAATCGGACATGCCTTGTTACTTCGTTAGAAACCGGTCGCTGTTGTGTAAGTGATTATCTCCTTCTTTTTTTTAATATTGACGGACTTCGGCACTTGTCTTGCGTCTTGAGGTCTTTTTTCCTCGCCGTAATGAAGAGACACAATGGGATGATCGACCACACATTGAAATCCCCGATCGTTTCCACGAATCAGACTCTCTTAATCCTTTATTATTAATTAATTACCGATATCATTGATTTATTTAGGACAATTAATAATGAATTCTTATTTGAGCAAGAGTTAAGCCTAATTGCACTCATTCTCATACAATATAAGTTCTCTATAAGAGATATCATCGACGCCTGAGCCGTAGAAGGTGCTATATCAAGAAGAATATGAAGAAGGGATATTTTCTTCTCATAATTTTATAGTAGTATGACTGAGAACAGGAATCGTCTTGATTTTCAATCCTGTTTTTCGTACTCATTTATTCATATATTATTTAATTTTCTAACTAAATTTGTGTAATTTATAAGTAGTAAATATTACACTATATAGTTCTTTAATTAATTCATGCAACTTGAACCATTCTTCTCGCTTTCTCGATATAAACCGTACTTCGTATGCGTTCCGACATAGATCGGTCTTCATGCCTTATGCGAAAAGACCGCTTTTCATTCATTTCTTGACATAGATTTTTCTTCATGTTTTTTTTCGATATAGCACTTTCTATAGTTCAGGCGTCGTCATACAAAGACGTTTCCAAAGGACTTCCATCTTCTAAGATCGTCTCCAAGACATTTCTCAGAGAACTGTATTATGTAAGTTTGCCCAAAAAATTGATTATTTTTATAATTGAATGATTCAGTCATTTGATTATAGCTTTTACATTTCAATTTCCTCTTTTCTTTCTTTTTCTCTTTTTCTTTAAATTATGAATGACTGTCGTTTGGAATACGAGGGTACAAGATAACTAAACTCTGATTAACTTATCAGTGATTAATATTCAACAGAATTAACTAGCGATTGTTTACTGCAAAATCTCTAATTATATATAATTTATTGTCTCTAATCTAATCTTTTTTAAACAGAGCAAAAGATTTATAAATCTATCCATGTTAACGATGTGGATAAATGAATAGATATAAATTGATTAAGATGATTTACTTAAAGTAACATTTATTATTATTATTTTGTTATTCTTAATCCAATCTTTTTTTTTAAATATATCTAATTTTTAATTAAATTAAATAATTATAATTAAATAAAATTAGTAAGTTTATTTAATAAAATAGTACAAGTATTATATCTCGGTAAAAAATTTTTCATGCATAAATATGTATAATCGTACATAAATATTCATAAACATGCATAATTATATATAAAAAATGTCCATATATGTTCATACATTCCTCTTTCTTTTGTAAAATTACTGTTTATTATAATAGAAATATTAATAGTAATGTGAAAACATCAAAAATTAAAAGGTTAATTTTCACACTATTTGTTTTAGAAAAAAATCAATTTTGGAGAAATGTAAAAAAAATTTCTTATGTATAATTATATGTAAAATGCATATTAAAATTATGCATTTATACATAATTTTGTGCATGAGCAATTTTTTTTATATTTCTTCAAAATTGTTTTTTTCAAAAACGAACACTCTGAAAATTATTCCTTTAATTATTTTGTACGTTGTCACATTACTATTATTATTTCTATTATACTAAAAAGTAATTTTACAAAAGAAAGGGGGATTGATACATATATGGATATATTTCATATATAAGCTCTTTAGTTGACAAGTGGCATAAGTTTAACATTGGGAAAAATGCTTTTGGTATAGAAGTAGAAAGTATTAAGAATATTTGTTTTATCTATTAATTTAATTTTTTTTATTTTGTTTTTATAAAAAATAAAAATCAATTTTACATTATAAATAAAGTAACCATACAAAAAGCTGGACTTAAATTACTGTTCCAGCTTTTTTTACGGTTACTTTATTTATAATGTAAAATTGATTTTTATTTTTTATAAACATAAAAACAAAATAAAAGTAAATTAAACTGGTAGATAAAACAAACTCTTAATATTTTCTACTTCTATATCAAATTTTTCCTCAAATCAAATATTAAACTTATGCCACTTGTCAATTAAGGGGCTCATGTGATATATGTACATGTTTATGAATATTTATGTATATATGTTTATACATATTTATACATATTCATGTATGAAAAATTTTTTACTGAGTTGTTTTATAAATTAATGATTTTATGAATGATTTTCATCTTTTTCCGTCAATATACATATATTGTAGATTAATCTTGGTTCAATTTATTCTTCTTCTTTTTATAGTCTTAAAACCGATTTTTCATACTGCGGCAACAAAATATCATTCCAATAAACGAGAATGGATAAAATAGATTGAAATTTTTTTCTATCCGAATGCATATTTTAAATAGCGAATATTTTTTTGGATTTAATTGGATTCAATTGGATGCAATTGGATTGAAAAACTGCATTTCGTATTCAAAATTTTGAATTGAACAGTATTTACAATGCACAAAAAAGCTAATATTATTTTTAGATTGAAAGGCATAGAGATATGCTCCGTGCAATTTCTATAAATGAATAAAAATGCATTCAGAATTGAAGAGCATTCAATTTAACATTCGTGAATCAATATTTCTGAAAATCTTAATCCATTTCAATTTATTTCAATCCATTCTCGGTTGCTGGGATGTGATTCAAATTAGCGAAAACTCGATTGAAAATGTGTCACCTCGCTAAAATTTTTAACCAATAATAGCATTTTGTTGCCGCAGCATGAAAAGTCAGCTGTAGAATTAAAAAAGATGAAGAATAGCGAATTCGATTGGATGCACTCAGTGCATACTACGGTGCACACCAGTGTACGTGTTTAAAGCTGCCGTACACAAATTAACAATAAAAAAAAGTGTTTAATAGAAATATAAAAACGGATTAAACCATCAAATCCTTAATACATTTTATTGCGCTGTTAAATAAAGTTTGTATTTTATAATTCGGAATATTAATTTTTATTTTATTTTTATACAATTAGTTAAATCAGTGTACAACAGTTTTAATATACATTAATGCGTCCAACTAAATTCGCTAGTTGAGCCGAAATTAAAATTAATCTACATTGGGGAAAACAGGCCTTTAGAAATTAATTAATCAGAATTTGTCTTCCCCCGGCATGAATTAGAGACATGAATGGGGGCAATGGCTGCTTAAATACGTCATTGACGTAGCGTTTGCATGTGTACGCCACAGATGGCGTTAAAAAGCCGCATTATGACACGCGTTCTCGCCATCGACGTAATCGACGGCGACAGAAAAGAATTCGTATATTATCGGTCGACTGACTGCGTTTCACCCCCATTTCACTTTTTATTTCGCGGTTTCAGGGTGAAAACATTCGTTCCGTTGTGTTCTTTCGCGTTTTCCACTTCAAAAATCGAAATTGAGAAAAAAAACTATGCGCCCAACTAGTGGCGCCAAAATCAGGTGCTATTCGCGTTTCAAAAAACGCAAGAAAGAATCCTTCCAATAGCCGATTCAAAAATTAATTATCCTCTCGGTTTTTCCAATTTCTCAAAGATCTAAGTGATCTGTTCGCGCTTGAAGTCCCCACGAATGTTTATACTTGAAACGATAAATATATAGATTCGTTGAAGAGAAAAAAAGCAAAAATTCTAAATGTAAAAAATGTAGCAACGCAGATTTCTTGTAAGAAAAAAATGGACGCGCGTCAGTGAGATTTTTTTCGCGACGTTTCCTCGAAAAAGGCGTTCGCGTTCAGGAACTAAGCGAGAAAAGACCGCGCAAAGAAAGGCCCGTGTCGCCGCGCGCATCGCGTACGGCCCTGCGCGTGACGCGGTCAGTGATGCCGTAGTCAAGGCGACCGTAGCAGCAGACAAGCAACACCACTCCGGCCAGCCGTCCACAACAAAGTATAGAGTATAGGGGGTTCGTCGGAGTGTGTCGCCCCGCTCTTTTCGCGCTCCGTGTCAGCGCCGTGCGTACGTGCGTGCATGCGAGCGAGTGAGCGAGCGAGCGAGCGCCACGAGAGCCCTACGAGTCGACTGCGGCGCGCGGTTTCCTGGGTGACGGGCTGTCGCCTTCGAGACCAAGGCAGTAACGAAAAGGAGCGCGCGCGCGCGCGCGCCTGTAGAAGAAACAGAGAGAGAGAGAGTGAAAAGGAGATAGAGAGCGCGCCCGCTCGACGACGACGACGACGGCGGGACACGTCGTTCGGCCGCGCAAGTGCGCCCGGGCGCCGCTGCGTTCGAGCACACGCCATTCATGAAGACAGGTGAGTGCAAATAAAAGAGAGAGAGAGAGAGAGAGAGAAAGACGAACATATTCCATCCGTCACTATCCCGCTCAACATCGGGTCGACGGAGACGCCGACGTCGTCGCGAATCATCCTCCCAACGGTTCCGCTTGTAGGCACAGCATGCTCGCGAGGATGTAAAGATCCGAGCAGAGAATCATGAGAATCTTCCTACCTGTCAAAACTCTAATATTTAAGCTGCTTTCCTTTTATGAGACACAGTTGACACAAGTTGTGTCGTTTTATCTTTAATCATTGAGTGCCAAGGAAGATAGAATGACGTTTGTGACAACTGTCTTCCTAAAAGGAAAACAACCATAAGGTATTTTCTAGTAAGAGACATAGTTAATATGATTTCTTTATACATTTAGATACAGTGAGGAACTGAGGGCAAGACTAATTGAATTTTACAATAGTTGTAAAGCTGCTTTCTCTGCTAAATGCAGTCATTATAATAAATAATTATTTTATTTCCGTTTAACATTGGCAAGAACATAATTACTATGTTACACTATGTCATTCGTGTCTCTTGTTAAAAAGCATCCACAAATGACATAGTGTAACAGTCGTAGGGTGCTTTTTATTCGATGACACAAATCAACACAAGTATTGTTCTTTGTTATTCACTTTCTCTGCTTTCTTTCTATCTTTTATCTTTACTACTTATTTTCTCTTCTCTTTTTCTACTTTCCTATTTTTATTACTCATTGAATAATAAAAGTCAGAAAGATAGAATGATGCTCACATATTCTACAATAAGCTATTATTTAGTTTTAAATCTTAAGTCATAAGAAATTAACCAATCACTACCGAATGTAATGGCCATTCTATAATAAGTCGTAAATCAGAAGTTAAAAGTTGGAAATTGACGACTGTGATTGGTCAATTTCCAGCTTCTAACTTCTGATTTATAAAATGGCTTATTGTAGAATGCGTGTAAGAATAATCAATTATGATTGATCAATTTTTTATAGCTTAAGACTTAAAGCTTAAGCAATGATTTATTATAGAAAGCTTTTTAAACTGTAAGAAATTGACCAATGACAGTCTAATGTGAGAAGAATAATTGACTCTGATTGATCGATTTCTTACGGCTTAAGACTTAAAGCTTAGGTAATGGTTTATTGTAGAAAACTCATTAAGCTTTAAATTTTAAGCTGTAGGAAATTAGCCAGTCACAGTCATCACAATGTGAGAAGAATAATCGACTATGATTGGCCAATTTCTTATGACTTAAGACTTAAAGCTTAGATAATGACTTATCATAGAAAGCCCATAACATAATGTTTTAATCATTATATGCACGTCGTTTGTCAACTTTGAGCAAAGACAATGCGTTGTGTTACATTGCCATGTGGGATTGGAAAACACTCTTAGCGTGAACGTAGAACGTGGAATATCGCTCGTTGGGGCGATGTAGATCACGTTGAATCTATAACCCAAGCAACTCACGGGAAATATTCCTGGGTAGGGAATCGTTTGTTAGAATCGATTTTACTGGGTTTATTCAAGCAAGAACCTGGAGCTAGGGCAGAGAGCAAAGTCTGGCTTTTTTGGGGATTCTTTTTAGATAGTTTTATGATTTCTTGGCACGATATATTGATCTGTTGAGGGATGCTGATTCAGTTTGAATGTTGTATCGTAACAGGGTGATACCTTTGTAATATTCTCTGCAAAGAGATCTGCTTTAGATAGATTCCCCTAATTTGTAACGCATTGATGAATCTATTATACTGTACTTCCTATAGGGCATCTAATATGAAGATGCAATGAAGATTCCCAATTAAAATGGATTTACCAATTACATGAATGCGATCTTCCACCCTACGGCTCTGATGAATGTATTAATCCTTTTCAATCATCTTTGCCTTGACTTGCTTTGAGAGACAATCCGTCTGAACGCACTTATTGCAAATGATATTGGAAGTACGTTTAATTTTTTTATGGTTTAATTTCCCTTCCAATATTTGTCGTTTGATTTCGCGCTATCTGTCCCTTATCTCTCTGCCATTTTACTTTTCAACATCTGCATAAGTTCTCAGCCTGTGAGTTTATCTGACTCCAGGTGCATATCGCTTCCAGGATACTGGAACCGGAGTGGATATATTAATATAAAAAGCAAAAATGTAGCTTCTATGTAATAAGCCTAAATAATGGTTTCTCATGTACAAATTACACAGGGGAAGTCGATATATGTACAGGATACTTAAACATATCCTATGGATAGGAAGGACTTGCAGACAACATAAGTCTCTCCCCATCAACCATGCATAACAGAGGCCAGGTGCACTTGTAATATTACAGTGTGTGTAGGTAACAAACACAGGCCATGATATCAGCCTACCAGTAATATTAGCAGCAAAATGGTATGTAAGATATCTCTTCAAAAATAACGTTAGACAAAGCGAATATCAATTAATAGTTGGACCAACTTTTTATCATAAGCGATAAATTATCGACAGCAACTGAAAAAAATAAAATCAAAAATCATTTTTATTATTCTTTTTAACTAAACTTCTTGATTCGTCTTTTTTTTCTTCACGTTGAAGAAAAAGAGAGAAAAGATGAACCATGCAAAAAAATTAAAAAGAACAAGCCTTACGAAAAAAAGTTAAATAAATGAAAAAAATATTTGTTATTTGGACATTATAGCTTTGAACATCTTTTAAAAACGTCTTATATCCTGATTTTGAACTTTTTGTTGTCTGGTTTCTTATTATACTTTTTCTAGTTGCAGTCGATAATTTATCTCTCATGGTAAAAAACTGATTTAACCATTAATATTCATTCTGTATATATTCAGAAAAAATAATAAAACAAAGCTTTATTTAAAGAAACATAAAAGAATTATATCTAAATATTTTCAAAATCTTAGCTTAAAAAAATTATATATTTATACATGACACAAAGTTATCATATTTAAACAATAAATATTTTCTTTATTAATTTTTTTTTCGTAAGGCTATCTCTCTCTTTTTAGCACGATCATCTTTTTTTCTTTCTTTCAACATAGAAAAAAAAGAGAAAAGATGAGTTAAAAAGTTTAGCTAAAAAAAATAAGCCTAATGTAAGTTTGGCTTTTAGCTTTATTAGAGCAAGGACTATGTTGATGTAATATTAGTGCATCTCTCTACCAAGTCTTATATTAATTAGTTGGTACAAATATATCAAAATAGGAAACATCAGATCCTATTACACAATTTTCTCCTGATCAATACCATCGAGTAACGATGCTATGATTTTCTTATCATATGGCTCCCCTTGTATTTAATAGGGGGATCTCATATTATATTTTTAATATTAGAACGGAGGCATACTCTAGATAAAATAAAATGATGTATCTTATGTATTTTATTGCACAGTTTGCAGAGAAGTGAAACGTAAAGAGATGGGAAAGAAGCATGGTATGGCCACCTTTTCCTCGCGAAGCGTATTAACACGGTAGTGTGCGTCGTTTATTAGCCCCCGGTCCATCCTTGGAGGAAAAGAGCCGAGGGTTGTAACACTGGACTCAGGATAATACTCTCTAATTGCTTTCGTGATCCTGTGCCGCCTTCATTTATACGTTCCAACCTTCCAACCCCCTTAAAGCGAGCCTTATGTCCAGTCACGCGTGGGTAGCGCACCGTGGCTCTGGGATACCCCTCGCGCGCCCCTTTTCACCCTTCTCCCTTTCTTTCCCGGCCCCCGGCCCCCGACCGATTTCTTCCCCTTGATACATTGTGTTTGGTACCTGCAGTGCCGCC